GTAATTTCTTTAATTCAAAATTTTTATTATAATTTAATTAGGTTTAATAACGAAGTAATTTATTTTTGGTTTAATAATATAATTTTTATAAGAATAATATTAAGTATTCTGTTACAAGTGTAACTCAATGATTATCTGAATTATATTTTAGATTTTTTATATTTAAAATGAGATTTTTATCCTGTAATTAATTATGTTTATCTGCAGTTAGTTACACGAATTCAAACATGAAGCTTTGATAAGTTGTAATTATGCACAATTTACCTGTAACATCGAATTTTAAGTAATATGCATCAATAAACAATATTTCGTGCATAAAAAAGGTTTTTTTAAAGCATTTGTCAAATGCTTTATAATATATATATATAGAGAGAGAGAGAGAGAGAGAGAGAGGGGGGGGGGGGGGAAGGGAGGAGACTGGGATGGATCATGCGAGAAGTTGATCAATTTGCTAGTAGATAGAAATTCCAAGATCATACATGATTACATGTGATATGAATACTTAATTATATATGATTAACATGGTTCAAAATGGCGTAAGACGTGACATGGCGACAAGGTGAAGCCTCAAGCTTTACACGTCACGATTAAGACGTAACATAAAACGACAAATTTGTATGTTATATATAAGAATTATATATACACATATATATTATTCAATTAAATAATGATATTAAAAAAATTTACATTCATATTAGAAGAAGAAAAATAATCATGTAGATTATTACTATAAAAATAGACTTTCATTAAATATTCAAAAAGATTCCATTATAATCTCCAAAAGTAACTAAATAATAAATCAAAAAACTTTTAGACTGTTAATTTGATAATCGATATTTTGTTTTAAAATTTTATGATAGTGACATATATATCTTGTTGTATTATGTGAGTACCCTTCTAGCATATGTGTGTGTGTGCATATATATATATATATATATATATACATAGGTGGAGGTTCAAACGAAAACACTTTCATTTTACGAGAATGCAAGAACACTCTTATCACATGCGATAATACGCGTGAGGGGACCTGATGGTATGTAGAAGACGTTAACTACGACTTAGGCTGCCAAAAGTTGTCTGCGTTTATTATTTAGCATCACATGTGATGGTCTTGATGGATTATAGTATCATATCAACAACACTCTTATCACATGTGATAATACATATGAGGGGGCTTAGTGGTGTAAAGACGACTTGACCCGCAACCAAAATCGCGCTGAAAATCGTCCGCATCTCTGATTTAGTACCACATGTGTATCACATGTGATGAGGAATAGTAGTATCACATGTGATTGATTATAGTAAAAAAGTATTCTCGTGTTTTCATAAAATGAAAATGTTCTCGTTTAAACCCTTATTATATATATATATATATATGTATATATGTATGTATATATGAATTTTTAATTGCATAGGAAATCAAAACTTGGTGAAAATCGTAAGATTGATATTAAAAAATACTAGAGTAAATTAGCATAAGTTAAGATACATTAACATGAAAAGTTAACATATACTAACATGTTAACTTATCTCACTTTTAACTAACAAAATCTTTCATATGTTTTTTGTAATTAAAATTTGATTTCTCATAAAACCTAACTTTATGTATTCAAAATACAAATGCAGCAAGATACATCTTAATTTTAATATTTCATTTAATTATTTATCTCAGTCGATGCTATAATATGGTCTTATGTGATTTTGAAAAAAATGATGATGTTTTTTATTTTTGAATAAAATATAATTTGAAGATATTATCAAATTTTGACAAAAATATATCGATATTAGTATCAAATTAACTATTTAAAATTCTTATTTGTGCGTAATTTTTTAGTTCAATTTCTTTTATTATAATTTAACTTAGGTTCAATAACGAAGTAATTTATATTTGGTTTAATAATATAATTTTCTTACAAAAATATAATAATTTAATTATTTTGTTACAATTCGATAATTATTCTAACTATATTTTAAAATGAAATGTTTATTCTGTATTTGATTATGTTTATCTGCAGTTAGTTACACGAATTCAGATATGAAACTTTAATAAGTTGTACTTGCATACAATATACTTGCAATCTTGAGTTTTAAGTAATATGCATTATTAAACAGTATTTTACGAATAAAAAATGGTTTTTAAGAATTTTTGTTAAATGCTTTATAATATTTTGTGTGTGTGTGTGTATATATATATATATATACTAATACTAGAAGAGTACTCGCGCAATGTAGCGAGATATATTTCGATTTTAATGTTATATTTTATTATTTGTCTCTCTCGATGTTATAATACGATTTTATATGTTTTTAAAAAAACATTAATGATTTTATTTTTGAACAAAATATAAATTTGAAGAAAAATATATCAATGTTAATGTCAAATCAACTATTTAAAAGTTCTTATTTTTTATGTAATTTATTTAATTTGTTTTTTTTTTATTATAATTTAATTTAAGTTTGAAGAAAAATATATCAATGTTAATGTCAAATCAACTATTTAAAAGTTCTTATTTTTTATGTAATTTATTTAATTTGTTTTTTTATTATAATT